TGACCTGCTCTCCGCCCCGAGACACTTAACTAACCCATCTACAGCCAATGCTCCATGTCATAATGGGCTCCAGGAGGAGGAGGAGGGGATACTATCTCTCCCATTATGAAGCACACTAAATTTAACTGTGCTGTGCAAGGGGCTGCAAGAGCAGTGTGCAGGCCATGGAGGCACCAACAGTAGCGGCAGAGGGAAATGGCCAGGCTGGGCCAGTGTCTTGGGGTGGAGAGGAAGTTGCACATCTCCCTAAGTGACCAAGGTGCGCACAACACCAACAAGCGCCAGAAGAAACACCTGCGAGATCCAGCAAGAGATGAAGCTTCACTCCTGCTGTGGAATATGGAGTAAGAATCCATCAGCTGCTGTTGCCCTCACCTTCTCAGGCCAGGCAAGGAGTGGGAAGGGAGGGCGAGGGGTGGGGCCAGCCAGTGGTGGGTTCAGCCAACAGGAAGCCACAGCAGGGAGCCAAAAGCGCCATGGGTTGCTGACACCCATTGTTTCAGCCTGCCTGTGCTGCCACTCCCCTTAGCCACAACAGGATCATTACCTCATTACGGGCAGTAAGGGCTGCACTACTCCTTGTACGTTCACCACTTTCAAAGTTGTAATTTTCACGTACCTCCCTCTACAGTGGAGATTTCCAGCCCCGCCATGAGCTGCCTGGCCGGTCCCATATTCCAGAGGTCTAGTCACAGGACTGGACCATTGGTCATCCCAGAGCAGCTTATCTACCGGGTGTGCTGCAGACCTCTAAAATTTTCTTGCGGACCACCGGTTGGTGACCTCTGTACTGAGGAATACTAAGAAAGAATAGTTGGCCCCAAACATTACTTTTATTGTAATTTGCTTGAATCTTGCTAATCACACCAACAGGAAAACCTAAGCCATTATAAACTGGTTGAAATACATTAGCCCAGTGCTCATAACAAGTTTTTAATCTGTTGGTGTCAGTGCCACTGATGGTATTCATCTTCTATTTTTAATTTTTCAGTAAGGACATGGTTCAAGAAAACAATTTTAATAAACAAAAGTTGAGCTGATGTTCTTCCCTTTCTTTTTACCAGCACTGGGCCTAGAAAAGTAAAATATACATGTAGCATATCAACACTTTTTTTTCTGCTGGGAAAATCTGGATTTTCTAGGTTTTTGCTACTTAATTCCATTCATATTTAAGTATGATAGAACTCTGCTATCTTGTGATTCTTATACTTTTTATTCTAGATCAGGATGAATGAGAATTAGAAACAGAGCAATTCTGAGAAATTGAGTCACTTAATGTTTTTAAACATTAATATATAAATATGTGCAGGCTGCAAGCAGGAATTTCTTATGATGCATCTGTTACAGGAATTACTGACAGAGCACCTTGTTTATACTGTGCCTTGTACATAGCTTGAGGTTTATTATATCAACTTGGCTGTGCAGATGAGAGCCATGTGAAAGCGATTATTCTGGCATAACACAAGAAAGAGAACTAGTTCCTCTATATCATGGGTGTCAAACTCGTAGCGTCACGTTGCCATCACACGATATATTGCGATGTGTTTTTCCCTTTGTGGAGCTGGGGTGGGTGTATCCTGTGCATGATGCATCTGGCCCATTGGCCGCTATTTTGACACCCTGCTCTATATTCATTTAATAAAGTAATTTACTTCTGTAAACCTATGCCATACTTTGTAAGATATTATAGTTTGTATTATAAGTGATATCATATACGTACCTTGTTTTATTTAGCAAAATTTCTGGTCTTTTATTGCAAATATCATCCTGTTCTGATACAGAAATAAATATGTTTCAGTTTGCAAATGAAGAACATGATTAATATGATGCTGAAACAAAATAGTGCACTATGTGTACATTGAATGAGCTTTATATGTCTCCTCTTGGTTATTCTGGAAGGGAGAAGAATGCTGTTACTTTAGCAACTGCAATAAAATATGGTACTTGTGTTCACAGCTGCTTCTGCATCATTGCCCATTGCCCAATCTCTTTCTATTCACATCTAGAATGTCTCCCAGAAGAAATAAATATCATCCTGTAGAATTCCTTCAGGACAACCAGACATCAGTTAAATAGAATCTTTTACATTTCCAGAAACAGAATCTTCATGTTGCTGTCATTTCATTTTTACTAAAATATCAAGAGAATGAGCAGTCTTACAGCGTTTTAATAGGGACTACTCAGAAAGGCAATTTCTTTCAGAATTTCAATGAGCTATAGACCAACATAATCTGTAGAGGCTGGAGGAATGAATATAAACAGACCACATATTTTTAACACAATTTTGAAGAATATGCCCCCCTCTATTTCCACATTTTGTGAGTTACATAAAGCAAATTTTAATTCTTTTCTCTGTTGGGGCCATATTAAAATGTGTTTTGATCAAGATATGCTGTCATGGTGAGATACCCCAATATTGTTGTATGTTTCATAGCCATCTTAATTTGTCTTAAAACCCAACAGATGTATTTCATAGAGACGAGAAAGATAAAGCATTTATGATTAAAGGGGAGTTTGCTTAATATTCTGTTAAAACTAGCTAGCTTCATGGCCACAAATTATACTCTTTGTGTAGGAAAATATTAGAAGCTGCCTTATGCCGAGTCAGTTTGTTTATTTTCTTCCATATTGTATACTTAACTGGCACTAATTCTCTTGAAACTTGGACAGTACTTATTACAACCATAATTATTAACAGGTTTTGATAAACAGTCAAATTCCAAAACTAGTTAAACATTACATTAACATTTGAAGATTTCCCTATAAATTTAGCTAATGCACTATCCCAAAAAGATATCAAATGATCACATGATCATTTCATTAGCATATTTAATGTGCTTTTCAGGAATATATAATATTATATAATATTATACAATATTACTTTGGTCAAGAGTTTCTGTCAATACTACAAATAAAATCTGGGTATAGCTTGAAAGTCATGATGGCATAGCCTGAACAAAAATACAGAATTATTATTCCTCAATGGCTTTTCTAGAAATGAAAAGGATGACAGTTATTAAAAACAGTTCTTTTCAGAAGACAACTGTTTGGGCAGCAACGGAGAATTGAAATTATAAACTAGAAAGCAAACTATGTAAAAGTGTATTATAAGTGTAAGGTCCATTATAACACCCATTGTAATTTCAAACTAGTCCACTTTTCCTTCCCTTCTATTTATTTTTACAATCAATTTTTGAGGCCACAAATCTGGGCAATTTACACATTAGAAGAATACATGAAAAAGGATACACAATGTATTGGGAGAGAAGGACACCAGCAATGAAACTTTGAAAACATAATGGGACTAGATAATTACCCAGTCCCAAAACTTGGGAAAATTTTAATACTCAGATGAGGTAATGATATCAATCCCTTAGAATATGGTTAAGCAAATTATATTTTCTTAGCTACTGCCCTCAGAGCTTCTCTAAAATTTGCTGCTGAACAGTAGTCTTAATGGGAAAGATTAAGAAAGAACGGAAATTGAGTTTAATTTTAGTTAAAGCTTACATTAGATTTAAATTTTTCCTGGTTCTGCTTGCCTCAGTAGATACAGCACGTGGTTAACCATTTCTATACTTAAAAGTTAAGCTTAGTAGTTGGATAGAAGCCCTCCGGAAATACCAAGGTTATAAGTTTGACTGGGAACATTGAAAAACATTAAGTAGAGAAGACAATGCGCATGCTATTGCCAGGAAAACTACACTGATATATACACAAAGTTGCCAAGAGTTGAATTGGATTCAGAAGAGTCTATTTCAACCAATTCTGTCTAAGTGCCTGTTGTCAAGAAACCTACTGTTGGAGTTTGACTACCTAACCTTGACTCAAATATTAAATGCAACACTAAGTCAAAATAAAGTTATTTTAATAAGGATATTCCCATCATAAAACAGAGTGACAATTTTTATGGTCTGAAACCTAACTTCAAAAATCCTACGTATATCATCATATCAGTTCTACTGAACTTAATTTAAGGTTAGTGCCAAAACGTCAGATTCAGCAAGTTTTTAATCTCATTCAGGACTCTGCTATTCAGTAATTTTTCCAGGGAAATCTCTCTTAGATCCTTAAATGTTCAAAATGCCATCATCAGTAGTACCACCATACCAGCACCATCAACATGTGGATCATTTTCACTATTAGTTTGTCAATACTAAGAATGGAAAAATCTGGATGGAAACAAAATGAATGCAATGGGATCATCATTCCTTGAATATACTTTTTGAAGCAATTATTGTTATTTCATATCTCTTGGATCCAGAGGCATTCAGAGCAGGAGTCATAGAAGTCAAGATGGTAGCTGCAACATGAGCCTTCCTTTCTGTATGTGAAGAGCATGCAGCCATGCCTGGACCCATACAGGAATGACAGAAACTAAGGAATCAATGTAGTACCTGTCAGAAAAATAATATGGGGTTCCAATTTGAGCAGGGGTTGAGCAAGAATAAATAAAAATCAAATCCAGACAGCTATGAGGAAAGCTGAAATATTTATTCTCAAAAGCAAAGAGTTTTGCCTTGGGGGCAGTTGCAGAAAAAAGGGCTATAGAGACACTGTTTTATAGGAGAGCTTGTCCAGGGTGTGGAAGTGTGTGTGTATGTGCTGATTATAGGGTGATACATGAGGTAGGGGTGTATGTGTGTGTGTACATGGCATCTATGATGTTTTTTTCTTGTGATCATGCAGTTCCATTGGTAGACCATTTTCATTAATTCCATTTGTGTTTACAGACCTCCTTTGATATGTGGATTAAGTCTGGGTAACTTATTTGAGGGTTTGAGGAAGTTGAGTAAAACTTAAGTTAGTTTCAGCTTGACTGATTCTCAGTCCATTGTGGATTTTGTTAATATTTAAGGGAAGATGGAGACGGATAAGGAATAAAATATGTTTTGATATAAAACTTTCCACATATCTTTCAGGTGTGCTTACACTACACATCCTGTTATATTCAACTTGCTATCCAGTGACATCATTGTTTTAAATGATTGGTTCAAGAAATATTCAAGAAATAACAAATTAGGAAGAGCTGAGGTAAAGTAATTATATAATACTTATATTTTGCTAAACTGGTAATATAAGTGAACATTTCATGTTTTAAGACTTAAAGACTTGTCTGGGAAAGGGTTGCTTTAAAATTTACAGTTCAAAATATTGTAGCAGTATTTTATTACTAGTATTGTTCAACCAAAATATTTCTTCTACTATGGAGTTTTTCTTACAGTAATATGCTTAGTCAGTATCTGAGAATCCTGCATATGTAAGTTTGAACTTCAATTGTAAACATGTAAAAATGTATTTTTGTGCTGTTGGTGTGTGTTCCTCTCATCATTTGTCAATGGAGATGACAACATCAGATGATAATTGCCAAGGTAAATAGTAATAGGAACAATGTAGCTCAGAGATTCCTGTAAAAAGCACCAGTAATATCTAACAGAGTTCCAAGGAAGGTTTAATCTGCTGAGTCGGACAACTACCTTTGAAATGTTATGATGAGTTGTTAACAGTGAATACTATTGGATTTAAAAATATGTTTAAAATATACTTTATTATTTAACCACAGTTTAGAAACAGATAAGCTATAATTTCTCTGCCTCTAAACTTTCAGATTTATTGTTAGTGTATTCTAAAATAGGCATTAAGTAAACATAACTTTCAAGAACAAATGATGACTTTTTTTGTTTGCTGTAATTGTTGGCCATGGCAAAGTTAAAGCTAGTTAAATGTTTTCATGATCTGTCAGAATGTACTGAATTAGATTGTACTGAAGCTCTTTGGGACAGATTGATGGCCTAGAAATGTGAAATATAAACAAATAAATATAGATAAAATAAATATTTAAGAACAATAAATACCTAAGAATGCATCAATATCTTCTTAATCTCTTGCATAAGCGCACCAACGTGCCTACCGTCCCTGTCCTATTGTTTCTCTTATTCTTTTATTTTTCTTATATGTACCCATTTCATGTATTCACAACTATGTATACATTTATACTTATTATCTTGTAAACAATTGGCAAATCAAATAAATAAATAAATAAATAAATAAATAAATAAATAAATAAATAAA